CCCGGCCCAAACAATTATTTTAAATTGTCAATATTGGTAATATGCTGGACGTTAAAGTCTTTGTAACAATTTAAACTTAAGGGTACTTAGTTTTTGCAGGAAATACGAGAGGAAAGTAGCTAAAAGACCACTGTTGGCCCAACGTGGTGGCTCACGCTTGTAATCCCAGCACTTTGGGAGGCTGAGGCTGGCAGATCACTTGAGGCCAAGAGTTTGAGACCAGCCTGGCTAACATAGTGAAACCCCATCTCTATTAAAAATACAAAAGTTAGCTAGGTATGGTAGTGCACTCCTGTAATCCCAGCTACTTGGGTGGCTGAGGCATGAGAATCCCTTGAACCCAGGAGGTGGAGGTTGCAGTGAGCTGAGATCGCACCAGTGTACTCCAGCCTGGGCAACAGATTGAGACTGTCTCAAACAACAACAACAATAACAACAATGTTCTAGAGGACTCTGTTACAACACAGGCCTAGGAAGGAAGGGAATGGTGGCAGGTGAAGGAATTGATAGCACTTCACCATTGTGGCTGTTGAGATAATAGGTGGCTGCTGCTAAGAAGAGATGGTCCCCAAATGTGCAAAGACCTCCTTTGAGTTGAAATATCCTCAAAGTAGTGACTTTACCATTTGCCAAAAATCCTGGAAATCGTAAGCTCCGTGTTCCTCCAGCTGCTCAATTTCTCTCCTGTTTTCTTTTATCTTTGTATCCTTTCCTCTGGTTCTTGACCTTGTTTCCCATCCCTGAATCTGCCTTGCATCCGCTTCCCCTGAAGCTTGCCAGGTCCCTTTGTAGGCCACTGAAGCAGAACCAAAGAGGGGAAATGACATACCTTTAGCCATTCTCCATCACCATGCCATGTCCTTGCTGCCTGGCTGCCTCCTTCACATTAATCTCATCACCTGCCTGACTGTCCAGCTGAGCACTATGTGAGCCCTATCCAAGCTCATGTGCTACTCTGTGCCTTACTGCACGATGCAGCAGTGAATGATAACTGCTTTGCTGGGGAAGGGAGCCATGAACTCCAAGAAATCAGCACTGCTGCTCCAGTAGTAATTTTTTCCCCAGATGATGGCTGCCTAGCCTCAGTAATGAAGACTCCCACTTTTCTCTTAGAACTTATCTTCCAGGGTTCTACTGCCTTTGAGATCATACTTACTTACTCTATGCATACTATGAGTTTTATCTATTTGACCCAGGATAATGAGCAGACAATTAAGGAAGTAAAAATGATGAATAAATACCTAAGAAGGTTAGCATTATTGGCATTAAAAAATGCAAATTGAACAGTGAGATGCCATTTTCTTGTGACTCAATAGCAAATAATAAAATAGGTAAAGCTGGTAAGCATACTCTGTTTATCTGTAGGACATAAATTGGTTTATCCTTTTTTTTTCTTTTCTTTTTTTTTTTTTTTTTTTTTTGAGAGAGGGTCTGACTCTTACCCATACTGGAGTGCAGTGACATGAACATGGCTCACTGCAGCCTCTACCTCCTGGGCTCAAGGGATCCTCCCACCTCAATCCAGCTGAGTAGCTGGGAATACAGGCACGTGCCACCATGCCTGCCTGGCTAATGAAAAAAAATTTTTTTTTTTTTAAAGAGATGGGGTTTCACTATGTTGCCCAGGCTGGTCTTGAACTCCTGGACCTAAGTGATCCTCCTGCCTCAGCCTCTGAAGGTGCTGGGATTACAGGCATGAGTCACTGTGCCTGACTAAACAAAGAAATTTTTTACCTACCTGTGGATTTTTCTTTCTGACTTGGCTTCACTGAATTGAATTGTGAACTTTGCTCCTACTTTTAATAGGAAAGGTGGCTGGGTGTGGGAGGAGCACTTTGGAAGTCCAAGGCAGAAGGACTGTCTGAGGCCAGGAGTTTGAGACCAGCCTGGGCAACATAGCAAGACCTCATCTCTACAGAAAATAAAAAATAAATAAAATAGGAAAGGCTCCTATAACTCACTGGGTGGGAGGAAGAATGAGGTGCTGGCAGTACATGTTGCCTACTCAAAAGGAACAACTTGGCTGGTCATGGTGACTCACCCCTGTAATCCCAGCACTTTGGCCACCAGCCTGGCCAACATGGTGAAACCTCGACTCTACTAAAACTATACATATTAGCTGGGTGTGATAGTGCATGCCTGTAATCCCAGCTACTTGGGAGGCTGAGGCATGAGAACTGCTTGAACCTGGGAGATGGAGGTTGCAGTGAGTTGAGATTGTGCCACTGCACTCCAGTCTGGATGACAGAGCAAGACTCTGTCTCAAAAACAAACAAAATAAGGAACAACTCTGTTTTTCTGGCTAGATAACTAATAAACTTCAGCATCTTAAGGAGAGCCATGAGATGGGACAGGCCCTACAGCAGGCCAGAAATGTCATGGTAAGTGTTGATTGACCTTACACCACCACTGGGTCTCCTGTGAAGATCAAGAATGGAGAATCTTGGGTGGTTAGTAGATGGTGATACTAAGCTGTGGTGGTGAAGGAAGGTTTCCAAACCTTTGTAAAGTACATCTCCTTATGGGGAGCTTGGAATTTGGGGTTAGTGGTTTTCCTCCCCAGTGCCCCTATTGCCTGCCTAGTGACTATTTGATCTCACCTACCCATTTTTTTCTCTACAGCAATCATGGCTGCTTGTCTCTAAAGAGCTGATATCCTTGCTTCACTTATCCCTGTTGCATTTAGAAGAAGATAAAACTACTGTGAGTCAGGAGGTAAGCAGCATGAAGATGGAGGTAGAGGCCTGTGGTGGGACTAAAAGCCATAAAGAAGAACCAGACACATCAACTGATTCTTATTGTATAGTCTCGGCATACAGAAATCTTGGTCTCTTGCTGTTTTGATTTACTGAAGAAATTGAGGGCAAAGCTCCAGAGCCTCAAAGCAGAAAGGGAGGAGGCAAGGCACAGAGAGGAAATGGCTCTCAGAGGCAAGGATGTGGTAAGGTGCCAGGCATTTGTTCTTGTATGTGGGAGGTTTCCACCTCAGGGTTCCTGTAGGAACACAAATGCACTTTAGACACAGATGGGTGGCCTAAGAACTGCCTGCCCTGGGGAGTAAAGAACTGATCTATTGAGGTGTCAGATGGTTACAGCTTTTTGTGCTGGCTCCCCTGTTGCCCACTGTGTCCTTGCAACCTCTTCCCTCAATAGGCAGAGACAGTGCTGGAGGCTTTCTGTGCACATGCCAGCCAGCGCATCAGCCAGCTGGAACAGGACCTAGCATCCATGCAGGAATTCAGAGGCCTTCTGAAGGACACCCAGACCCAACTGGTAATTTAAGGGCATTTTCTTTCCTGGGGTCTGTGCTGACAGACTGGGAGGGTGGACCTGTATCCAAAGGGAAGGGGCTCCCGCCTAGGCAATCTTTCTTTTGTAGGTAGGGCTTCATACCGAGCAAGAAGAGCTGGTTCAGCAGACAGTGAGTCTTACTTCTACCTTGCAACAAGACTGGAGGTCCATGCAACTGGATGTGAGTATTTGGGGCCATCATAATTAATTCCCTACTCACATCAAGTCCTGTTAGGAGCTTTGCCTCAAGTGTGCTCTACTGACCTGCTTGCTTCCTCTGGTAGTATACAACATGGACAGCTTTGCTGAGTCGGTCTCGACAACTCACAGAGAAACTCACAGTCAAGAGCCGGCAGGCCCTGCAGGAACGTGATGCAGCAATTGAGGAAAAGCAGGAGGTACAGACCAGGAGTGGGGACTGCTTAGGCTTGGTTTCCTTTCTAATGTGTGATATCATTAGCCTCTTACCCTGGATCTGTTTTCTTTTCACCCTGTGGGTTTGGAGGCCAGCCAGGTCCCTTAGCTGTAAGATGGCCTTAAGCCCAGTTTTTTCCTTTGCCCTTTAGCATCTTTACTTTAGCAACTTTTCTCCTGTCTCTACTTTTTCCTGAGGATCAACCTTATTTTCTGCAATGTTGATGCCCAGGAGCAAGGTAGTTTTCTGTCTTGTTCAGAAAGAGAAGCTGGACCAAGTCCTGGGATTATTGATTCAGGAGGAACTACAGGAGGAAAACCAT